CTAATTGTTAAGCATTAAGTGTTAATCGCTAATCACTAATGGTTAAGTGTAGTCGCTAATTGCTAAGCATTATTGCTAATCATTAATTGTTAAGCATAATCACTAATCGCTAAGCATAGTCACTAATCGCTAAGTATAATCACTAAGCTTAATCGCTAATTATAAATTGCTAAGCATTAAGCGTTAAAGCTAAACATTATACATATCTTTTAAATTCTTCTCTAAGATAAATATAATAATAACTAATAAATAATAAAATACAAATATCGAAATAATAAAATAATACTAAGATAAAATAATAAATTAATAAAATAAAACTGTTCTATAACATTTTCGTCTCTTTATAAAAATTTGCTCTGCAAATTTTTAATTAAAGACTAATACTCTCTATCAGTAAACTTAACAACGTGGATGATAGTAAAGTATCGAGTTTGATACAACAATTCTTTAGGTCGAATACTAAAGATTTGTTGAAGATGAGTAGCTTCTTTCCATATATTTTAAGTCTTTTGAGAGCCTTAGGAAGTCTGAAGAAGTTCACGAATTTGTTGTTGCTTGTTGGTCTGTTTCTAGATAAAAATTTCTAAATACAGATAAGATTCAATAATTTTTATCTGCTTAGGGCGAGTATATCCTTTGTCTTCTAATTGTCTTAGTATCTTGGTCACATGATTTTTTTTTTCCATATCTTTGATAGAAAAATATAAAATTATTAATAGCTATATTTAGAAAATAATTATCGAATACATCAATATTAACTAAATGCTATATTGACAAATTTAGTCCTATTTCTGGGAAGAATTGTAATGATATAATAATATTAATTCTATTATAGATTATAATAGAATATCCAGCTATAATTAAACTATTGTTTGTAATAAGGAGTCCTGGTTCCATAGTACAAGAAAGTTATTTAAAGTGTCTATAGACTGGGACTAAATTTGTTGTGAAGCAGGGGTTTCTATTTTTAAGCAGTTGGTTGAAGAACTACCAAATTAAGAAATAGAAATTTGAAATAGGGGCATTTCTATTTATAATTTTTATAGCGACACAACTAAATTAAAATAATTTTAAATGTTTGCTTGTGTATCTAATGTGAAATGTCTTTGTCTACTATAGGCATCGAACATATTTTTGTTTACCTATATGCTTTGAGTTTACTATTCTAAAAATAAAAATTCTACAATGTTCTAATAATTAAAAATTCTTTGTCTGTTCATCTTCCTTAAAAAGTGAGGTCACTGAACTTCATGTGCTAATTTGTCTAAAATTAGCTTTTATTTGTTTTAATTGTCTATAGATTTCCTATTCTAGTAATCACATTGTTGGTTGTGATTGTTTTTCTGCATGTGTCATATGATCTTTTTGTTCTGTCTAATTGTATTTTTCTCTTATTTATTCCTCAAATTTTTTTGATACTTGTCGTATCTAAAAATTTTCTATATACAGCTTTTTGGTCCTTATCTTTCCTTTTTTCTTTTCCTTTTTCTTGTTCTAAATTTTTCTAATATCTCAACTCTTTTTTTTTTTTCTTATAGTTTTATCAAAAACTTTTGTCTTTTGTTTTGTCTGTTTCTTATTCTCTTGGATATTCTTTTACTACTTGGACTTCTCTTCTTGGATAACTTATTACTGGATTACAATGAACAATTATATTTATTAAATTAAGACAAAGATGTTTTGAGATATAACTTTTGAACAAAAATCTAATTCTTTTGAATTAAGACAAAGGCTAAATATATTACTTTTAGATAAAAACAAAGAACCCAATTCACAAGGAATTGAGGCAATGAATGCTAGATTAAAAGGATTTATTTTGGATTTATTTTTAAAATTAGATTTTTTATTTTAGTAGCTACAAATATTTTTTTATATATTTTTTTTATATTCAGAACCTGATTTATATTTATTGGACTTATATTTTATTTACTTTTATATTTATTTTTATTAGAATAGTTATTTTCTTTCTTACAAATAATATAAAGTAATAGCTGTAATTGTGAATAGTATGCTGGCACATACTAGCTTTATATTTATCAGAAAATTTTTTAAACAGATACATATTGATATATAGCTGTAAATCGATATAAATTGATTTAAATATAGCGATATATATCGTTAAATTTAATATATATCGATATATATCTATAATCAATATATATCATAAATTGATATACACCGATAAATATCTGATAATCAATTTTTATCGAATCTATTCAAATCGATACGTAACGATGAATCGATATATAACGATGATAAGTTATTGATCACATACATATCTGAATAATTCAACACTTTTTTACTTTAAATCGCTTTTAATATTAAAATATAAAAATATTTACTAAATATTTATTCTCTTTATCAAATCTTGGAACTATATGAATGGTTTTATCTATACTTCTATGGTGATACAACTATAATGCTCAACTAAACTTAATTTGGGACATTCTCACAATTCACCCTCTTCTTTATACCTCCAAACTATCATGAATTCAAGTGGTTCTTTGTCCGTTGCTCGGTAAAACTTGAGTATTAGCAATATCCTAGAATTAACAATTATTTATTAGTATATAATTAATCACAAAGTTAGATATTGAAATATTGTCTAACTTTGTGATTTGCTTCGCTTTCATTACTTCAAATTATTTATTGTTAATACGCACATACTAATATTTATTTATATGCAAAATCAAATAAGATAGATATGTGATTAATTCTTACCAATCCGTACCAATTTATATCTTCATTTTCTTCATTTTTAGCACTAACGTTAATATTCGAAAACATTGGTTTTCCATGAAAATTTGGGGAAGCACAAATAATATCAGTACTTTCCAATGCCGCTGAAGCAAAAATTTCAATCCATGAGTCATCATGAATAGACATGGTTGATTCCTCTCAAAAAATTCGTCAAGGCTAATTAGCAGATTTTGAAAATCCTCCATCTGTAAAGAGTCTATATTATCTTTATTTTTTTGAAGAAAATTATCTATTTCTTCTAATTTTATCGTTTGTAAACGTTTTCCAAACCCTTTAGTTCTTCGATTCTTCTTAGTGACTTCTTTTTCAGTTAATTTGTGTCGTTTAATCTAAAAAATTGATTAATGGCGATATATAGCGATTATATGGGCTTGGTGCTGAGAAAAGAGACGAATTTGACAAAAAAAAATAATTTGCAATTATCTTGTAAACTATTGATCAGAATTAAATGTTTTTGGTGCCATTCGATTTGTCTCAATGAGACGAATTGAAT